CTGCAAAGAACTAATGTGTAAAGACGGTCACATTCAGAGGTCCAGGTGGAGATGAATATTGAGGAGACACGTTTTTCTCCAGTACAGTCTCAGTTTGGCATGGTCTTCCTGCCAAGACACCGTTGGAATAATTTTATGTGCACTGATTCAATTAATCCTCAAACACGCACACATACAAAGCCAGTGAAGTGGGCCTTGCTATATACAGGCAAGTGGCTTTTCATTTAATCCTTTTTTTTTGAGACAGAGTCTGACTTTGTTGCCCAGGCTAGAGTGAGTGTCGTGGCATCAGCCTAGCTCACAGCAACCTCAGACTCCTGGGCTAAGCCGATCCTACTGCCTCCAGACTGGGACCCTCGTAGCTAGACCCTCAGGAATGCACCAAACATGCCCGTAAATTTTTCTATACATATTTGTTGGCCATTAATTTCTTTCTATCTTAGAAGAGATTGGGGCCTCACTCTGCTCAGGCTGGTCTTAACTCCTGACCAAATTAAGCAATCTGCCCACCTTGGCCCTCCCAGAAGTGTCTGGTATTACGGCGCGTGAACGCACCACCTCCCAGTATTTCATTTTCATAGCTCCTCTTCTGAAGTGAGAACATCATTGATCAGATTCCTGAGTGCCTCTGTTCGTCCTACATCAGTACTGCAGATCCCTGCGTTTCAAACTGAGAGCAGGGCTAATTACAAGAAGGAAACAAGACCCTGTAAGCTCATGTACCCTTGTATTTCTGGCACCTCCATTAGAACCACTTCCCATGGTCTCATGGTTCCCTTTCCAAACCTCCTACAGCAGCACGGACTGGGCTCCAGGTCATAGGACGCCCTGCTGCCACAGGCAGGGCAGGGCAGGGTATGGAAGAGAATCACCTCGGGCTGCCTTAAGGCCTGAGTGTCCCTCAGTATCTCCATTAGCCAAGCCCGAAGCTGGAGAAATCTCCCCCAGTAGATATGCTCAAAATCACCATGATAACAACTCGAGGGGGACAGGGTATGTCACTGACTTTAACTTTCCCAGCCCGAGGGTGTGGCGCAACAGATTCTCTAGGGCAGCCTTGGAGATTTGATTGCCACAGAAGTTGAAGGTCATCAGCTGGTGGCAGCGGCTTAAGGAAGGTAGGATGTGACTGAGCTGGAAGTCTCTGATCAGACAGTCCTCCAAGATCAGGACCTGCAGGGTGGCTGCCACTTTCTCCAGTAGAGTTTGGAGGGTCTTGGTATGGATATCTTGTACTTCGGTGCCAGTCAGGTCCAGCTCCTTTAGCTGGTGCATGCTTGGGCACAGGAACAGGTGGTCCATTTCCCATTCGGAAAGCCAGCACTTAGTAATTGTCAAGGACTCCAAGGGGGTCTTGAGGCACCTGGGGAGAGAGAGAGCACTGAGTCCTGGGAATAGCAGTGGAGAGTGGAGGCTGGTGGGGAAATAGCTCAAGGCAAGACAATGTTGTCACCTAAACACAAGCTTGTCTTCATGGTCTCATGGTAGCAAACACCCAGGGTGCTTGGGTTCAAGACTCTGCTCATTCTGGTCTGTCCCACTGTTGGCTGACTCCTCCCCCCATCACTGTGCCCCTAGGTCAAGCCCACAGAATCTCTAAATGTGTGTTCCCCTGTAGGCAGCTACCCACATGTCTGGGCTGCTTGAGCCCACTGGGAGCCAGGCATGAGGGACACGCCAGGGCAAGATCCTGCAACAGCAGATGGGATTCCCAGCCTCTGGGCTCACTGACATGCTTGTGTCATCAGCAAACCCCTTTTACAGTTCTTTAGTCCTGCTCCCTCACCCTCTATTCCACAAGCATGTGTTTGACATGTTAATCACCTTTCCTGTACTCAGATATCCTGTGACAGACGGGCAGTCACAGACAGGATGGCGTTCGCTACGCTGGCGGGAATGTAGCTTGTGTGTGCTCTGCGCAGCTGCGGCGTGCTTTCCCTGCTTCAATAACCTCCCTGTACCTTGTTCCTCAGCATATCCACCTAGTCACATTCGTAAACAGTAACTCTCGAACTCGCCCTCACTGTGTCTGAGCCCCCCTGTAGCTCGCTGTCCAGCAGTGTCCCTCTGAGCAGCCTCTACCCCAGGTGATCCCTCTGCCTTCACTGGGGAGGTGATGTGACATCTGCTTCAGGACAGAGCAGTGAACACACCAAGGCTTTGACATCCTGTGTGTCCTTCGCTGTTACCTGCCCAGCTGCTGGCACAGAGTCAATGTCCTTTAGTGCTTACTGTCACAAGGGAAGCTCTGGTCTGCTCTGCAGAGCAAGCTCACCGTCCTTGCTCACCTGTCTAGAGGGGGATGGTCCCCGTCGAAGGTGATCCTCCTCAGTTGAAGCTTCTGGAGCTTGTCCAGCTTGAGGAATGTAGAGGTCATTGCGGTCCTGATTTCTTCCCCAATCTTTGGGCAACAGGGGCCCCACCCCGGGAAGTTGCGGAAGATGATATTACGAACACTCTTCATCTGGATAAGGTAAGGGACAAATTGTTCTAGTCTATCCCTGTGGCAGTAGATGTGCACCTCAATGTCCTCGATACAGTTCAGGTCCACCATTTCCAGAAACTTCCTGACTTTATCAAAATTCCAAACATAAAGATCCAACCGCTTACAGCACAGGTGTACTAAATCCTTCCTCTGCTGGGCCCAGTCACAGGCATACATGAGAAACTCACGTGTGATGCCATCTTCGATGCTATAACGCAAGTCTACGACAACCTTCAGTGGCCGCTGCCTTCCTGTGCATGGACAGTCGGCCTCCGTTTCCCTCAGACTCATGGCCCGTGAGGGCCTCACAGGGGCTGCAGACCACACGCTCCAGAAGCTCCAGAAATTCTGACCAACTTGCCGTAAATCCAGCACTTGCAGCTTCCGCCCACTGTGGGCAAAACACAGGAGAGACTCAGATTTAGGAGAAGCCCGCTGGGACCTGAGCCTTCACTGCACTCCCCACACATCAGCCACTCTAGTCCCTGCTTCTTTGCACTGTTGATTGTTCCATGCCCTCTCCCCAACTGGATCTATTCCAGTGTCCGCTTCTCTTGCCTTTACTGGCACTGGAGGATGCAGGTTCATTCCCCTTTGGGGTCCCTTCACGGTGACCAGTCCCAGCCTTCCAGGGGGTGTTTCCCAGAGTGGGCTCAGCAATGGGCAGGTCTCTGAGCTTCCTCACTGGCACCATCAGGAACCTCTGGTCCACCCTTGGACCTCCACTCTCCCTGACCCAGGTGTCTGGCACACATGCCTGTGCCCTCCCTACCAGGCTCCCTGGGTCAGCCTCACCTGGGGCGAACCTTCTGGGCCAGCAGCACATCCAGCCCGTCCAGCACAGCTCTTAGGGTCTCCAGGTCAGGGGTCAGCATCAGGGACCCCAGAGGCAGGCAGGTGAAGGGCCAGACTATGTCTCAAAAAAAAAAAAAGAATTCATTCTTTCAGGCAGTCCACATACATGGATGGAGTTTTACTAATATGTGGCCATCACATTCCTTATGGGAGTCAAAAGAGGTTTAACTTATCGCTCGCATTAGACAGAAAAAACAAAACCTGAAAATATTGTTGCTGGGCAATTTTGGCATAGTTCAAATTTTGGCATCATTGAAACAGCTTTCTAAGAACAGTGGTGTCATCCCTAGGAAATGAGAATAGAAATCTCTGTATGCAATCAGTTTGAATGACCTGACAAGCCCTTGGTGTCTCATTTCTTGTGGAAGAGAGGGACCACTGAGGATGGGATTGGTGTGAGACTCTGGCCAGGGCTTTTCTAGAAGAAATCAGATCACAATGACAAAGAGAAGTAAGGGTGGGGGCTGGACAGAGTGGGGCTGGGTGTTCTCAATGGGGCCCTGGGAAAGAACTAAAGCACAATGGATATGTTGGGATTTTAAGGCAGGTGGAGGGACAGTATAAGATATATTAGACTGTGCCCACTGGTATATTTATTTTTTTTTTTGAGACATAGCCTCACTTTTGTTGCCTGGGATAGAGTGCCATGGCGTCATCTTAGCTCACAGCAACCTCAAACTCCCAGGCTGAAGCCATCCTCTTGCCGAGGCCTCCTGAGTAGCTGGGACTACAGACATGCACCACCATTCCCAGCTAATTTTCTATATATACATATTTTTAGTTGGCCAATTAATTTCTTTCTATTTTTAGTAGAGATGGGGTCTTGCTCTTGCTCAGGCTTGTTTGAACTCCTGACCTTGAGGAATCCTCCTGCCTTGGCCTCCCAGAGTGCTAGGATTACAGGCAGG